TATATATATATATATATATCAATTAAGAATTTCAATCCACTCAATAAGTAAAAACGAAAATTTATCACCCAGAACGTCTTATTTTGACTTTGAGACGGATATTCATAAATAGCATGCTTTTATTGTTTTTTTTTCTTCATTCCATTGTGTTTGAAATTACCAATTGATCAAAGTTCATAATTATATGGTTGTGAATTGTGATAAAGTAATTAAGCATATAAATSAACTCATGTTAATTTTGTTCAGTATCCACCTATCTATTTATTTTTGCATACAAACACCACCATATTTTGGACATTTTATTTAACACATTTTATTTGAGACATCTTTTAAAGCAAATTTTATTATAAATATAAAGTTATGAATAAAAACTTCCATTTTATGTAACACGCAAAAAGTGGACAATATTTTGGACATGACAATATTGTGTTTCGTTCAAAACTAAAACCAATATTTATATCATTATAATAAAATATTTTGATAAAAAATTGTAAAAACAAGCTATTAAACATTATGAGATGTAGAGAGGGGAATATTTGTATATATACATGCATGTATAATTTGCAAAGCTTCAAAATCGTCATACAAAATAATGGACGCTCAAGCTCTTCTTCAGACAACCTTTATCTTGGTGACCCCGCCGATGCACCCTCTCCCCAGAAACTTTTTACCAGTATTTCTCAAATCACCACCGCACACCACCACTGCACGCCGCCAGGTATTAACCTCTGCCACCGCCCTAAAACGGGAGAAAGATCCCAAAAAACGAGTCGTCATTACAGGTATGGGTCTTGTCTCTGTATTTGGAAGCGACGTTAATACATACTATGACAAACTCTTAGCCGGAGAGAGCGGAATCACGGCAATAGATAAATTCGATGCTTCAAAGTTCCCCACCCGATTCGGTGGTCAGATTCGTGGGTTCAACCCAGATGGCTATGTTGATGCCAAAAGTWACCGGAGACTTGATGATTGTCAACGGTATTGCATTGTTGCAGGGAAAAGAGCTCTTGAAGATGCTGCTCTTGGTAGTGATGAACGCTCCAAGGCATGTAATTCATTCACTTTTTCATGTCTTTAAATATTGAAACCATGGGTTAATTGTAGTATTTTCCGATGTTGTGCAGATYGATAAGGACCGTGTTGGTGTAGTTATTGGAACAGCATTGGGAGCTCTTACCGTAWYTYSTGMTGGTGTGGAGTGCCTCATGGAGAGAGGTCATCGGAAACTCACACCATTTATGGCAMCTTMTATGCTAYCAAACATGGGCCCTGCGKTGCTCGCCATGAATCTTGGTTTTATGGGATCAAACTTTTCCATTTCAGCTGCTTGTGCGACCTCCAATWTTTGCTTCTGTGCAGCTGCAAATCATATCCGTCAAGGGAAGGCTGATTTGATGATCGCTGGGGGCGTCGAAGCTCCCCTTGTTCCCATAGGGTTGACAAGTCTTTCTGCTCTTGAAGTGTTGTCTACAAGAAACGATGATCCCAAGAGTGCTTCCAGACCATGGGACAAAGATAGAGATGGCTTCATTATGAGCGAAGGTGCTGGTGTTTTGGTAATATCACTACCTCTGCTTTTCATCTCTGATTGATATGTTGGATTGGTTCTTTCTACAACTGCGTTCAATGATGCATGATTGGGTGAAGAACATATAGTTTTGGAGTCCATCGTGCTGCTTATTTGTGAATCATTTTATGGTCTTTTTGTAGGTTATGGAGAGTTTAGAACATGCAAAGAAAAGAGAAGCACCCATTCTTGCCGAATACTTGGGAGGTGCAGTAAATTTTGATGCTTATCATATAAAGAATCCACGATTTGATGGGCTTTGCCTTTCATCATGCATTCAAAGCAGCCTTGTGAATGCTGGTGTCTCGGTAGAGGAGGTAAATTATATCAATGGACATGCAACTTCCGAAGTGGTTGGCGATTTGGCAGAAATAAAAGCTCTCAAGAAGGTATTCAAGAACACYGTAGGGATCAAGATGAACGCTACCAAGGTGAACCAGATAATGGTCCAAAYATGTAMTTGTCCCTACAACATGATATTGTAGTCATATTCTCTTCTTGTTTATGTTCCAGTCTATGATCGGACACAGTTTGGGAGCAGCCGGAGGTCTGGAGGCCATTGCCACAATTAAAGCAATTCAGACAGGATGGTTGCATCCCACCATTAATCAATTCGTATGTGCATGATCATGCCTACACTCCTACCTTTTCCCTTTCTTGTTCTTTGATTTTCATGTTTTACTTCACAAATCTGCAGAACCAAGAACCAGGAATAGAATTCGACACGGTTGTAAATCGAAAGCAGCAACATGAAATCAACGTTGGTGAGTTTGTTTCCGATCTGATTCTCCCTCATTCATTATTARCAGCAACATGATCTGTTAACTTATTCAAATGCTTTTGGATGCAGCCATTTCGAATTCATTTGGTATTGGCGGACACAACTCAGTTGTAGTATTCTCRGCTTTCAAACCTTGATATGATAATGGAGAATATATGCATATTTGAGGAATAGAGCAACTTCATGTCATTGTGGAGATGCAAAACTTCATACCAAATAATTTATTTATGTTTTCTAAATTGTATGTATGTATATTTGGGTCCATTGCGTAATCCTTCTTTATACAACTTGGATTTTGTTTTGTACTAATTACGTATAAACATTACTAACAAAATGGGTATCACCGGCGGATTTTTTTGGCGGAAATTCCGTCGGAAAATCAGTGACGGATTTCCAACGAATCTGAAAAAAGTCAAGGAAAGTTAACTTTTGTTGATATCCGCCACAAATCCGTCACTAAATTTTCTTTAAAAATAAAATTTTATTTCAATAACTTTCCGGAAGAATCCTTAACGGATTTGTGACGGATATTTTTACTTATTTATTACTTTAAAGAACCGTCATAAATCCGTCACAAAATTGGTCTAATTTTTTTAAACAAACTATTTAGTGTTAATTAATTAGCATTTTCGAGGGATTCCAATATTTTAACGAAAATGTTTTATTTTTATTTTTTCTTCCAAAAGAATATTTTGAAGTACATAAAGAAAATAATTTAAGATTTCCGACGAATTTAATGGTTTTCATTTAAAAATTTTTAAAGAAAAAATGTTTCTTTATACTTTTTTCTTCCAAAAACAATATTTTAAAGTTAAAAAAGAAAAGAATTTGAAGTTTTCGACGGATTTCAAATTTTTATGGTTTTTATTTTAAAATCTGTAGGAAATCCATCGAAAATATTTTAAGAAAAATGTTTTTTTCTCCTTCCAAAAAAATACTTTATAAGTAAATAAAGAAAAGAATTTAAAAACTGAATCTTAATATACTTTAACGGGTACTATTGGGGTTTAATGAATCTTAATAGACTTTAATGGAAGTCTTGGGTTTTATCCGGTTCAACTAAACTTTAATGTTTTCATTGTGCTTTAATGAATCTATTGAGCATTATTCGGTTCAATTGGAGTTTAACAGGTACTATTGGTTTTTAATTAGTTCAATTGCGCTTTAACGGGTACTATTGTGCTTTATTCGATTCAATTGAAATTTAACGAGTATTATTAGACTTTATTCAGTTCAATTGAACTTTAAAGGGTACTATTAGGCTTTAATGAATATTATTTGGTCTTTAATGGATCTTAGTGGACTTTAATGGATCTATTAGGCTTTAATGGATCTATTTGGCTTTATTCGGTTCAATTAGGCTTTTACATGTATTATTGTGTTTTAGTGGATCTTGGTGGAATTTAATGGATCTTAAAGGACTGGTAATATTTTTTAAACCACATGGTATCTATTTAAACAATCTCATCGAAAAGTACGGTGAAATTCTCTTGACCAATCCCCTAGTTGATACCGACTTGTAGAATGAGACGGTTCGTGGATCCAAAAAAGGCTGTCTATTTCGGTTCGAGTACAATCAAGATCCTAATTTGGTCTTGACCGGGATATCCTCACAAGCAAAGTCGAGTGGATCGTCTTCTGTAGATAGTCAGGTGTATACCTCTTTATCTTTTGATGTTTATCTATCTTATTTATACTTCTTATTGGAATTTTTAACATTTTATTGTATATGTAGTTAATTAACGACTTACAGTCCCAAATTGAAGAAATGCGCATTCGAGATGAGATCCAACAAAAAGAGGTTGATGAAATTTTCCGTCAAGAAGAGATTCGAAAAAGGGAAGATGAGATCCAGAAGAAAGAGCATGCATACATGATGGATATGGTGAAGAGGTTTACACAATCTCAATAATTTCTGTCGACCCCACCGCAATAGATGTGATATATGGTATTTATGAACTAATGTCACCAATCGTACTTTAATTTTGTTGAAGAATTTATATTTGTATGGTATTTCGTCCAGATAATCATATTAGGTATTTAAGAGGGATTTGTGGATTGTATATTTATATTTAATTTACAGGATCTTTATATTTTAGGATTTCCTATAACAACTATATTTCCGATGGAGAATCTGTCGGTAAATAATTAAATTTAAGCTTTACTATCAAAAATAATTTTTCTGACGAATTGTCCGACGGAATATTCGTAGGTAAATATTTTCATTTATTAAAAATAAAAATATTTCATATTTTAAATAAGAAAAAACATTTTTTAAATATAATTACCGACGGAACTCTGTCGCACAATGCGGCGGGATATGAATGTTTTTTGTAAATCGAAGGTATGACGTTTATGATCATTATAAACTTCAAATTTTATTACGGTTGATTGACCGGAGATTTGAAAAGAGAATTGCATGATTAACGGATTTCCAAACACACATCAATTGTTATTCTTAGATTGTTTAATAATGATTTTCACTTAATGCAACTCATGATCAACAAAAAAAACCAAAATTCATGTTTAAACAAGACGGAGATATGATCATCTAAAATAATATAAATCGACACACACAGAGTATGAGAAGATACCACTTGAAGCATCTATATGTAGATATACCGTGTAAGAAATGTCTTATGATTATAATAGATATATACCAAGCGTAGTTGTAAAAAATGTGTAATAATAAGTACTCGTTTGTACCTTATTAATCACGTAAAACTTCTTGATACACCACGTTTGATGTGTAGACTCCGTCCCGATTGAATTTTTTGGCAAACTTTACTAATACCTTTGTATTTTCACGTGATGTCCCTCTTGATAACGCCACATAAAGTTGTCCGTGAGAGAATACTGATTCTGGTAGATACACACCTACATTAGGAATGGTCTGTCCTTGAGCTTTATTGATTGTCTTAGAAAAGCTAAGCCGAACTGGAAACTGTTTTCTCTTCACTTTGAAGGGGAACATGTTATCTTCAGATTGACAAAGAGGAATTCTCGGTAAAAATACTATCTTTCCAGCATGCTGACCGACAGCTATTTCTGCATCGATTATGTTCTGTTGAAAACCTCTGCATATCAATCTGGTGCCATTACATAAGCCATTAGAGGAATCGATATTCCTCAATAGTATTATTGGGCATCCAATTTTGAGCCAGAGGTAATGCGGGGGCAAACCACTGACAGTCAGCGAGTTTAAGAACTCCATTGGATAGAAGGTATTTATGTCATCTTCTGCTTCATCGAAAATGTAGTAAACTTTTTCATCGCCGCAAAATCTATCAGTCAATTGATCATTAATCTCATCGACATTCTCTTTTTTTGTTGATAATATCGCCCTCGAAATAATATAGTTTGAATCTGCTCCGTTGATTTGCAGAGATGGAAATATTGCGTCAATCAAATCATGCTTTGATTTATCTTTATCAGTATAGGCAATGGCCATGTCATCGGGGATACGTATAAAGCTTTCTTCCATCATTTCTTCATCTCCATCACCCACTCGTAATAGAAAATTTGAAAACCATGGATCACTCTGTGCTCTCATATTGAGAGTTAAACGTATTTTTTTAATTGAAGACCAAAAAGGTGACATTCGTAGGCTTGAATCTACAATCTGTGATCGGGTTCCACGTCTCATGACTGGTAAGATATGTCTAAAATCACCTCCCTTAACCATTATTTTTCCACCGAATGGTGGTGTCACCCCTGTGATGTCTTGCATTGTTCGATCAAGCGCCTCCACCGCCTGCCTCTTAGCTATTGACGCTTCGTCCAAATGATTATTTTTGCATATCGTAGCAATTGAGCAGTCCCGCTTTGTTTTTTTATGTTGCACATGGAGTTATTATCTAGATTAAGGGGAATTTTAAATCGGGAGTGAGCTGTTCTCCCCCAAGGCATATTATTAGCTGCAACACCTGAAGAAGCAGTGGCAAAAGCAATAAGACCACGAGAATGAATGTTGGCAAGCAATGCTTTGTACAAATACGTTTTTCCAGTCCCCCCTGGACCATCTATGAAGAACACTCCTGAACGATCATCATCTACGTGCTTCATGATCTCATCGTATGCGTATTTTTGGTCGAAATTAAGGGATTCTCGGGCATTAAATGTTCGTCTTCTACAACTATGGAGTATTCCTCTTGTACCTCACGAAAACTTCGAAATTGTAAGTTGGTATCTACATTTATCTTTGGAAGATCGAAATCATCAAGATTTTTACCCATAGATTGTAGAAAGCTTGTGATGTCAGTTAGGACCATATTCCGAACTCGGTCAACACTTTCGCATTCTCGTCTATAATCTTCTGAAAATGAATCGTAATGCTCATCCCACAACTTGCGAACATCTCCTGACTCACAATAAATTAATATTGTGGCAAATAGCCTCCTTAGAGCTTTGGAAAACTGAAATAAAGAAGCCTCTGCAAGACATTGTGATAAGTTATCATCTGTCTCTATTAAGCTTCTCTTAAGTGCTGCTTTCCGGAATATCGGGTATAATATGCCATTGACTGTGAATAGATCTTTGAAAGATGTACGCCCACTAATATGAGATAAAAGTAGGTGTAGGTAGTACCGTTCTCCTTCGGCGGAATTAGCATAAACCAATCGTCCTATTATTGATCCTTGTTTTCTCTGATTCCAACGACGTGCGCTCGCATTCCATGTGTAATGTTTTGGAAAGTCTTTATATAAATGTTGTCTTGCACTCTCGTCTTCTTTATTTCTGTCGAAAAATGTAGTTAACATTGTTCGTTTACCTCTCTCTAGCAATAATATCTGTCATTATATCATCATCTCTGAACCTAACTATCTGCTTATTAGGGAGATGGATTTGCAAAGCCATCACATAAGGTTGAATTTGAGAAAGCGCAAAGCTAAAAATTTGCCACATTGCCTCTGGAGGGGAGATATAACGCGCATCTTGAAACCTTTTAATCTCATTAATAACACTATGTCCTTCGTGTGGATCTATATGCATAATTTGTTTATTATGACCCTTGTAAATATATTTGAAGAGATATTTCACATATGTTATACTTGAGCAAGCCTCAACATTAATATGATAGTTGAATATCATTAACAATTATGGGTTATATTGGACAACCCATCTATTATCCAGTGTATTGCATCGTACATTCACATCTCTTCCAGTATTTCTCCTCTGGTATAACGGATATGAGTTCTCAGCCTGTGATGTCTTATCGTTGAATTGTCTAGGATATCTAAAACGACAGATTTTCGGCTCACCTTGCATGCAAGGATTGGACGGTCGTAAATGACCGCAAGGACCATGCATCATGTGTTGGACAACCAACTGGTGCATTTTAGGATACTTTGTTGGGTCAGGAATTTCAACACATACAATCTTGTTGTAATGATCTGGATTGGTCATTTTGTCATCAGGTCTCATTATCATGAGGAAATGTGCATGTGGCAATCCACGCTTCTGAAACTCATGACATAAACATATGCCCTGATAGTGCCGAGGATCTTCTTCTAGAAGAGTTGGTCCTTGAGATCCTCTAATTTGGCACGAAAACTTTTTGCAACAAGATCCGGTCGATCTTGTGCAGTCTGACCGGGCAATAGCTCTTTAAGGATTTTTGGCCATTTTGGATTACACGTTATTGTAAGGAATATATTGAGTTTCCCGTCATCTTGAACTAAAGCCATAGCATCTAAAAATCATCGTCGCATGTCACGTGGGCCTCCTATAAAACTTGCAGGCAACACAATTCGTTGTCCAACTCTACTTGGTTGAACTTCACCAGCATTAATGCAATCCATAATGCCTTGATATAAATCCGCTCTTATCTTGGTTTGGTTAAGTTAACAGAAACGCAAACGTGAAGTCTCGATATTGATGTAGGTATCTACCACAAATTGTTGTAGTAATCTTCCCACCAATAGAATCACATTATCGTTTGAACGGATCTGGAACTTGTAACAATAGTATTCCCGCATAGCTACAGTATTTCTACCCCTTCTTGCATAAGTCTCTGTGTCATGTTTTGAAACATTTAAACCAATGATATGTATGCTTTCAAAACTAATTAGTTACTTCATATAATATATTAACATATGCGATAGAATTTGTACCTTCAGAATCTTCCTCCATGATTTCGTTGTCATCAACAACTTCACCGATAGGCACTCCATGTCTTGAAATTTTAGAATGCCACCCATACTCACCTTTTGGAAAGAATAAAGGATAAGACAATGGATCATAACAACCGAGGTGAGATTGAATTTCTTGGCTATAATCAGACCTCCCGTATACAACAATACTTCTCTTATATACAGTGATGTTTTCATTTCCTTCAACCCAAATACCAACAACCTAAAGAATGTGATTATTTAATATAGTATATACTATGTATCATATGTGTTTATAAGATAAAAAATAAAAGGTTTTTTATTCAAACCTCAAATGTAGTTGGTTGGTTGTATACCCTTTGGTCAAGTTCCACCGATGCATTCAAAGTGACTCTATAATTGTCGAGTGGTCCTAATTCTGCAAGGCTTCGAAATATTCTCACGTATGGATTCATAGCAAGAACATGCGTCAAAATGTCAATGATACTTCTATCAAGATTGGGCCATTGGAGTCTATGTGAAAACTCAGACTTAGCATCATAAAAATATAATTGTAAATACCTAGGTCATCCATCACTTGGAACTAACTGATCAATTTTATGATATACTCCTCCATGTGCACGAAAAGTATATACACCGGATGTCATATTATTCATTTTCTCATCCAAAGTTACACCCATCGATGTGAAAGAAAAGTTCGTGTTGTATGCACGTATGTTGTGCCTAAACATTTTGCCCAATTCAGATTGTGATGTGAAGAGATTGTATAATTCTTCGGGAATGGGAGAGTATGCTAATTTTGTCTTCCAACTCATGCAGCAGAAGGTTGGGAATTCAAACTTGAATCGTTTTGCTCCGCAATGAGTACATGCAGGTTGTTCATTCAAAAGACGATGTTCCTTAGGTATACGCCTGTATATATAATCGTATGGATCTTCCTCGAAGGTGTCATTTTGGTTCGATGAGTTGACAATGACCTCAGTAGAGGTTTCTACATCTAGGACATTTGAATGTAAAAATATGGTTAACATTTAATAACTAAACCTATGTAAAAATATAGTTATCATTAAAGAACTATATCTATGAATACAAAAATGTAAAAGTAAATTAAATAATAATTTACAAAACTATAAATGTTCTGTTGGGAAAAAATAAATTGCAACATATATGAAGTTACAATAATACAAAATTGATACTTGAATATACATATTAAAGATATGGATTTTACCTGTAACATCCATCATTTCATTGTTCTCTATGGTAGTTGTCAATATTTCAATGCTAGTATGTGGGTCACCACTTGTTGCTGTTATATTTTTTTCCTTACATCATAGATAATAATTTCTATTATAAGTTCTCCTTCTTTCAATAAGGACTACTGCAGTAATTGGTATTGTATCCGCTGCAGCTAAATTGGTGACAAGTGTTGCACTAACTGGTATGATGTCCGTTGCATTGAAACTGGTGAAATGTGATTGACTATTTCTCTCAGCAAAGACTATTGCACTAACTGGTGCTGTATCAGCTGCAGCTAAATTGGTGACAAGTGTTGCATTAACTGGTATAGTGTCTATTGCAGTGAAATTGGTGACATGTGTTGTAGATTGACTACTTCTTTTGCCGTTAGCTAATTTTCACTTTGTTAATATCCTTATGTCGTGCATAGTAGTCTCGATTGTATTGTTTTCATTTTTTTGTAAGAATATGATTTTCCATGAAATGTATATTATAAATGAGTATATCACAAAGACATAAATTATATAAAGTTAGTTCCATTTCTATATACTACACATACCTTTTTTCAAATCTAGATCAACTTGTGTAACAACACCATAGTCACCTTCATCGTATACATCCTCATTAATAATCCTCATTTTACACTGTAAAAATACTAAAACGAATAAAATATAATTTCTTGTTTATCATTATTCGTTATTTGAATGTTAAAAAAATTATCATTATCATCATTAAATGCAATCACACCAAATACCAAATATCATCACCAAATGTAATCACATCAAATATAAAATAAAGGTCATTACCAAAAGTTTATCACTAAATGTTATCAAACAAAAAACGAATAAAACATGATAATAGTCTTGATTATCTACATATTTTTATTTTTGATGATAGCAATCTAATGTTATCCGAATATGGCATTTGTGGTTCGAACTCAATCTTGGTTAACTCTGTATAACTCAAAATATTCACTGAAAATTATATAAATAACATAAATTATTAGATTCATTAATTTTAAATAACGGTGCACAGAAAAGATTATATATAAATTAACTTATAACGTACTTGACTTCTTATGGATAAGTTTAAGTCGAGATGCATATATTATAGATTTATCTTTGATTGCACGAGCGATCATCAAAGGACGTGTACGTGGAGTGTCAATCAAATTCATCTTTATTATATACCCCATGTTCATAAAATGAACACATTTAAAATTTGTAATAATAAGTTAACTACATAAGTATAGATATGTGTGTGGTTGTGTATGTGTGTGCGTGTGTGTGTTATTTAGAAAAATTTATATACTTACGTTGCATCTTGTAGAAAATTTTCACATGAACCAAATTGAAATATATGTTTATGACGTACATATGTTACTCGTCCTCCCGCAATGATTTTCCCAAAATATCTGAACAATGTTATTCATATGCATAAAAAATAAACAAAAATTATGGTTTTAAAAAAAATTGTAATTTTAATTGATAGTTTCGATGTACCAATAAGTATTTTCTTAGTGGTCTTATCCTCCGCAACAGTTTTAATTGACGGCACCAATGGATAGAATGYAAATCCACTTGCAATATCACTTGCTAATGGAGTAAGCTTTGTATTCTTGCTGATAAGAATCATCCATCCATCATGGGCAAAATTGTATTGTTGGTATGACGGGCAGTCACAATACATTTGTTCAACTTAAAAATGATCCAAAGCAAATACAACACCCACTAAACTCATTTTTCTATATGACTCCAATAAACGGCGTGAGATAGTTGCTACCATTTTGTCTCTCTATTATATAAAATATTTTTAGTCAAATATAGGTTACAAATAATAATTTATACAACTTGATATCAGATTAAATATAATTGACTTACATTTTTATCAAATAAAATCAAAATTAATCTATTATCTTCGATGTCATTCCAAATGAACTCTACTATGATACTCGTCAAATTCCACCATACATGATGCTGATTGAGTGATGAAAATACTTCAACACAGCAATGAGAGTCCATTTTCTACATAAATATGTAACTTTATTCATATTTAATTAATCATATTTATATTAGTATAAGTAGCAACTCAATAGAGTGGGTAATAAATTGGCAAAAAAAAAAAAAACTATAAGTAATGGAGTCGAACAGATATCACGGAATCGGCAAAGAGAAACCTGCTGCAAACTACAAGTTTCATAGGAAAGGGAAGATCCACAAATTTATCCCGAGAAGAAATACATCTAACAACATATTAGAATAGTGACATGTGCCCACATGTTAGGCATTTCTCTCCTGTATTGGGATTCTGAAAGAACAACTTGGTTGGTAAAGACCTACTGAAGCTGATAAAGAACTTTAACTAATGGTGCAGCAGCTTACAAACCTACTTGTCAAATCAAAAGTTCATGTTGC